TGTTGTTTGGCTCTTGGGTCCATATCATTGCCGGTTATTTTTCTGTTTCTTAACGTGTAACTCTTTCTTCACCTCTTGGGTATATCGCTCACGTTCTGCATACGCTGTTTATGCTGCTTGCTGGTTATTCAGTACATTATTATGAATAATGCTTCTTATCTTTGCTGTAGCATATCGACGACATTTCTCCGTAAAGCTGGATGTTCCCATCGATCCAAGTGTCGTCAAAAATACGTTCGGCAAAATCAGCAAGAATACGAGAGTAAGGACTTTTCTTTTCTTTCTTTCTGGAATCTAGCCAAACTTTGGCCAATGAAACTCAATAGTTTATTGTCTGCACTTGTCAAAAGCACGATGAGCAACATAATATGAGTGATGTGATTACCAGTCATTTGTGTACATTAAAATGTATGATAAAGACCTTGCTTGTTTTATTTTTTCTAATCTTTCTTTAATTATTCCTCAAGTTCATTACCATATTTATGAAAGGAACATCGATACTCGAAGTCCACCACTTAATCACAAAATGGCATCCTTCTTTACCTGGACAAATGTGTGCCTTTTTGTTATTCGTTTGAACATGATGTTCCCAAGTGGAGCACACATTTAACACTTCACAAGAACTTCTCTATTGTTGAACAAGTTTGACTCTCTCTCTCTCTCTCTCTCTCTCTCTCTCTCTCTCTCTCTCTCTCTCTCTCTCTCTCTCTCTCTCTCTCTCTCTCTCTCTCTCTCTCTCTCTCTCTCTCTCTCTCTCTCTCTCTCTCTCTGCGCATTACATAAGTTGGCCTCAAGTGGTCAACTGTTGGTAAGATTTATCGCAATAGTTTTTAAGTATCCAAGAAATCCTGTGGCATTGATAATGGCATCTAGATACTCCTAATGTTCATACATGTGGATGTATTCTACCTTTGGATAATCTTGTCATCGAAACACGATACCTCCACAAAGGAATTGAAAGTATAATTCCAACGTTTAACCGAAATACCAACACTTCTTCAAGTTTCTGCAATTCATAACTTTACACAGGGTCTCTTGGAAAGTCCCTGCTTGCTGCAAAGATTTTCTTCCTCCATTTATTTTTGGGGTCTGTCCAATTTTCTTATATAATTCTATGATATTTTATATTCTGCAATATTGTTGTTTCCCGTATATGTTAATGTAACTATGATGGCACGGATTACACATTTTTTACTTCAATGGTTATCAACTAGGACGACATTGTGTTTGGTACTGATAATTTCATCCGCCAATACAACTTTTCCCCATCTACTACTTCTATGGGTGACAAGTGTGTGTTATGTCAAACACATCATTGGATTGTTGGGTGAGCTGAATATTATTGATAATTTTAGACGGGGATTATTCTGCAGATCTAGACAGAAGACTTCAAACTTTTGAATGAATGAGTCTCATTCGATCGTCATTTTTAGTATGGCAATATCCCTTCAATATCTCTAATAATGATTCCAAAAAACATGTTATGAAACCCGCTGCTTTTTCTGGTGTCACTTAAGATTTGAACTCTTTACATTTCACTGTATATGTGTAAGCCATTGTTCAAAATTTTCTGATAGTTCTTCTTTGTGTCTCTCAAATGTGAACCCAATCTTCGGGAGCAACTGAAAGACTTTTTTCGTGGTTATATAGACTCTATTGGCCTTGTGGCCGATACATGTTGTGTTTTATTTAGGTTGTAGGTGTTGTCTAATGTTGCAAAGCGCTTAGGGCTTCTAAAGATTATGCGCAATACAAAGCGATTGTTGTTTTTGTTATTATTATTATTATTAGTAGTAGTAGTAGTAGTAGTAGTAGTAGTAGTAGTATTAGTTAATTAATTAATTAATTAGCTTTCATTCTTGTCATATTCAAATCACTGAGGATGCACTTGTAGTAACGCTTCATGTAGTTTATTTGGCGGCACCGAAAGACGTTATTGTCTCGTGAGAAAAGACATCCGGCCCCAGAATGTTAACAATATCAAGGAAATGGAGAGACAGGTGAAAACAAATACAAACTTTAAGATATATGTTTTTAATGTCATGAAGAAGGACATGATCCTCATAATAATGACCCCAAAAATGAGAACAAAGAAGGAGGATGAGCGTCCTTAGAAATAGAAGAATAAGACCCATAACCGTCAATAAATTCAAGAAACCAAGAGAAAGAAAGATCACAAGAAAAAAAGTCATTAAAAGAGACATTGATAGTGACCACATAAAGAAAATGGTGCTGATATGAGATCATTTCAATCAACAATCATGAACAAATAGTAAACACATAATATAGATTTACATAACAGTCTCATGACATACTGAAAATGTGTCACTCATTTTGTCGAAAGATGCTCAGTAGTGGAATCCTATGAAATTTCATTGTTTCTGATTTCATGGGAATACATGTGTGTACAAGCTTGGAATGCTAAATGAATGAAATGTTTCAATAAAAAAAACATACAAAATTAGTGACACATTTTCAATATGTCATGAGATTGTTATGTAAATCTATATTATGTGTTTACTATTTGTTCACGATTGTAAATTGAAATGATCTCATATCAACAACATATTAAATAAGTTTTTTCTGTAAGTGCTTATGCTAGTTTAATATAAAGAGCTATAAATAAGTTGTTTAGTTGGATTTGTGGTTGTAACAAAATAACATGTACATTTTGGAGCAATTTTCTGATTGGATGGTTGAAATCTTGAGACACATATTAAATGATGATGATTTGCGACAGGTAACATAGTTGTCATAATAGTGTTGCGGAGATTTGTATTATACTGCACGTGCCTGATTCTTCTTGTCTTTATTTCCTGATGAAACATTCAATATATATATATATATATATATATATATATATATATATATATATATATATATATATATATATATATATATATATATATATATATATATATATATATATATATATATATATATATTATATATATATATATATATATATATATATATATATATATATATATATATATATATATATATATATATATATATATATATATATATATATATATATATATATATATTATTCTGAGAGATATAGATGCCCTAAAAGGACCGTTGGCATTTTAGCAATAAAAACAAACTTATGGATTTTACTTCATCAACTTTAACAGTCTTATTCCTTTTCCACTGCTAATAAAAAAAACCGAGTGTTTGAAAGGATGAGGTATATGTTGGATTGTAAGAAATAAAAGCGAGTGCTAAATATTCGGAGTTGTGAGGTGGGGATGGATTGTATTTAAAAGTAATTAACAGCATTTCCTATACGTCTTTTTAATTAGGAATATCCTGTAACTAAAAATGTTAACATAGGATATCTCATATTGAACCTAAGAACAATTTTAACATAGAATTCCCAGAGAGCTTAATTTTTTGATCAATCGAACAATGTAACAATGTAGACCAAATTCAAGCAACTGCGTCTAATAGTGTTACCAATTACTTTCAATGTTAGACCTATGGACAATTTTAACATATGATTTGCCGTATGTCCCCTTAAAATAAGGTCAGTCACTTCTAATTATGTTGCCCTGTACTACCAGATTTAGACAATTTGAAACAATACTTTCCCTCTTTAATAAACTCTGTCGTAACATTAACTCCTTTAAGTTGCCCGAAGCTCCATTTCACTAATTTGACAAATAAATTTTAATGCCTTTAAAGTTTTGTAGTGGAAACTAAAATGTCAAGGATGAAAGAAAGAAACGTATAAAAATTAATTCTATGTTACCCAATTATGCATAAATCCGATGGAAAATTACAACTGTAACTACTGTTTCTATTTATTTAATTTGTTACAGTGGATCGAACAGTTTATTTTCATTCCAGTAAAAAGGGATGTGGGTTCCCATTCTTGCATAAATTGGTCACATTGTGTACCTTTAGACATTAATATGTACCAAGTTTGATAGTGATCTACGCAATGTGCAGGACAGGTTATATAAACTAGAGTCTCTCGAACAATGCATTTAACTGCAGGACAAAAAGGTATAATGCTAATATTAATGACGTGAGCGCATTGTTTTATCGATACATGCGTCATCAGATATGACTATATTACGCACAAAGTTTTGTTCGGACCGTGTTATAGTGTTAAAAATTTTCTCCCAAAAACGTCATTAGGTTCCAAGAAAGAAAGGCAATAACCTTGAAATAATGTGAAGGAGTACAGTGATATGTTAATAATATGTCCTCATTCTTTTTTTTAGCTGATGACCATAATACTTTACCACGCTTCATGTGGATCCGTTCAAATCTGCGTTCACAGCATTATACAACTCATTACATCTAACTACAAGAACAAATAAGTAAGAATAATAACAACGAGGACTTTATATATCGCCTAATCTTTAGAAGATCTAAGCGCTTTACAACATTTGACAGTGCTTAAAAAAGAATATGAAAAACAAACCATATATAATGAAATGATTACAAAAATTAAAAACAAACACCACAAATAAAGTTTTTGAACTGAATAATGCGCTGCCTTTTTCAGTGTTTGGTGTCTTGAAACTGCCTGTACCTTATCAGATTAAATATCCATAACAGTTGTGAGATTTATAACTGGTTAACTGGTTTCTCATTAAGTCAACGTTTAACATTCAAACGAATATTTTATACATTTCATGTTCTCTTTTTCTAAGTTTTGATGAATCGATTGTTAATTTTGCTTAAAATTAACTGGTTTGAACCATCCCCGTTCTTTAAAACCACACGATCTGTTGGGGGGGGGGGGATTTTGTTCTTTTCTCACGTGGAAATAATAGGTGACATTGATGATACATAAAGCTAATTGTCCGGATCGGAGGCACGTCACGCGTTAAAAAAAATGACCATTAATGCCACCGACTCCGTTCGATAAATCGCATTTTGTGAAAATTATACATACATACATAACTTAAACCGTACGTCATCCAGGTAAATCGACTAACATGTGTTATTTTTACATATCAACTTTAATGTAGTACATAACCGCTCCGGTGGCTTAGTGGTTAGAGATTACGCCTCGGATGCGGAAGGTCACGGGTTCGAATACCAGCCGAGTCATATCAAAGATTTATAAAATGGTACTAACAGCTGCCTTGCCATAAAGTTCCTCCCTGCAGACATCGTAACGATAAATCCAAATCACACACACACACACACACACACACACACACACACACACACACACACATGCAGTACATAATGTTATGCACACAGGTGCATGATTTAAGTTTGTTTAGGTAATATTTATGTAGATTAGGCACTGGGATATCATCGGATGAAAAGTCTAGTTAGTCAAGAGAGAGAGAGAGGAACTCAAATTATGGATAATATCGTACTTATCTGTGTAAATATCATATCTTCCTGGGAACAGTATCAAACATGATCTGCTGTCGCATAATGCGCAAGTAGACAAGTGTCTACGCAAATTCTGCATCCAATCCTTTGTATTAATTTTCAATCACTAATTCAGCTAATATTTTCGGCCCCGTTAGTACAACGTTCCAATAATCTCCATTTTGAAATTCAGCAGTTTCAAATATTCTTCCTCCTCGTGATTTCATATTTTACTACTTGCTTCGATATTTGAGTGAAAGTAATAAACAGCGATGCAAGTAAAACTTAATTCGTACTGACCCCACCCCACCCCACCCTGTCTTTCTGGCACAGTCGTACCGGCATTAAAGTCTTAACGGTACGGTGTACCTGACCGTGCGGGCGTTCTTGCACCACGTGCGTTAAAATATTTATGCAAGAAATAAAGTTACCTGACTTATATAGTTCAATAGCTATATCTAATGTGTGGCATACATTGGCAACACCAGCTTCAGATGATGGACGCAAAAGCGTCTGTTGCGTTAAATCATAAAGTTGTAGGATCAATAGTACTGATTTCACTCTCAGTGCATGTATCAGATTACAGCCGTTCGAAGTAACAGTTGTCTAGGTCATTAATCCCATCATTCTGGATATTAGATGCCAGAAACTGTCAACAACTTCCGTTCTTTTGTTTATCTTCCCATGGCTATCTGAGCCTGGATCAGTTCATGCCATTGGCTAAGGCACAAATCTTAAAATAATTAAAATCTCCAAACATTACTAACACAAGAGCAAAGGTGGAGAGCAAGTAGTTATGTAGCTAGGCTTGGTACTGTAAGCAACACTAGGGTTTTGGATTTTGTAAAGATTTTAGCTTTATTTTACATAAAGTTGTAGGACCAAAATTGGTGTTTATGTCTCCTTTGATCTCAAATGTAACAGTAAGAAATAATTTTGCATTGTGCTTGTTCTTGATTTATGTTAATTTGTTCTGTGTAGGAACATTTATATACAAATTAGTTGTATGAATAGTTAAATATACATTGTAATAAATAAAACTGTCGTTGGACACGATAGTATTCTGCACAAGCGAATAATCCAGATAATTTTCGTTGTCTTTTATTAATTCATTATCCTTATACATTTTTGGAGGAATGACTCTAAGATTCACTATGTTTGAATTTCATTGCTTTATAGATTAAAGCAGATGACTTGATTGTTAATATAAGATCCACAAGGTAAATGCATGCTTCACTGTACACTTCAACTGTGACATGGTGTGAAGGTCTCCCCACTGTGACACATTGGTTGTGGTGGATTGGGGGTGGGTGCCTCCAATATTTTATTTAAATTATTGTAGAACTCCCACCCATGCTCGATTTTGGTTGGAAGTTTATTTAGTGAAAGTTAAATATACAGCTTCGAGCCCCCAGTCAGTCAGTCGGTTAAATGATAGAATATACAAAGAGGGTGATGTTCAAATATAACAATTTAATAACAATTAAATGGTCAAATAATTCAAATTTCACAAGTACACTTCTTCCGCTCGACCCATTAATAGCTTATCGCATCACTTGATTCGGGGAGAAATTTCTATCTGTCATTTATTCTACTCCTAATTCCTTCTCTTCCTCCCTGAATTTTTCCAGTTACTCCTCTACTCTACAATCCATCTCATCCTCCTCTATTTCCTCCTCCAGACGACGTTTCTTCCTCCTCCACATTCAAACCATATACTTTATGTCGTACATTCTTGTCGAATCCGACTGCTCTGCCAGTCTCACTTTCGTCTCCTCTTAGAGACTCGCGACTACTGAAATTGAACCGTATGTTTTGTCCCCCCCAAAAGCTTCCTTTGAAAACACAAGGGTGGTACTATGTTTTCCTCAGCGCTTACATATCACACTACACACATACTATCCTCAGATAACGGGTATTAAATTTCTCCGTTCACACACTCATTCACACCGAAAAAGGCATACATTTTTGTATGATAAAACACAATATAATAAATACAGCATAATAAAAGCAAGGTATCAATTACTCATATACATACAACAATAAATTGCTTCACATCAGTACCCACTCCTAATCTCATTATACTGCCAATATCGCAATTTTATTCAGACCCATCTCTTATATTACAACTCATACAAATATACAAATATATTCAAATATCCATGTTCTGATACATTCACACATATGTTATAACTAATCTTACATACTTCCAAACTCCAATTCAAGCATGCGTTAATTCTAACATAACGCATTGCTCAATGTACTGGTTACTACGAAGGAACCTACCAGCGAATTACAAAGTTAATTCTGACAAGCTTAGCAATCTACATAATTCTCTACGTAAACTTAAATCCATGTCACAAATACGCATATAAATGAAACACTACATGGTAATTCTGCATACTAAAACAAGTAATTAAGTATACATGCTACAAATATTAACAATTATGGCGCCGTAATGTTTTGCAAAAATCGAGCAAATAACTTAATGACATTTTCGAAGCTTTTCTTTTCTTACAGTCTGGTCCTAAGTTTTACCGCCAAAATATGAGTGTCTCTCCCAGAAGTACCATATTCCTTAGTAATCTAAGCGTAACTGATAATTTTTCAGCGTGTTTGAGTTATAGTACCGATTTAAGTTTTAATCACACCCTCTCTCTTACTTCCGATTGGATGTCGCTGTGGTCTGATTCAATCAAACTTAGCGGACAATGTCCTCTCGCCATGTGTCCACGTTGGTGATGGATGGGCCTCTTTCAATCTTTAACCAATGTTTTAACTCCTGAGGGTGAATACTACAAGCTTTTGACTAGCTGTTCTTAAATATAGACTGACTGGCGATCAAGGGCAACTTGCACAAGGGATTAACACTGTCTGCGGCGATGTTTGCACATCAAACGCAGAATTAATACTCCGGTTTATACACTTCCTGATAACCGGGCTGAGCAAACCTGACACGTGGTTCGTGTTTGAATTGAGTTGAAATGCATATTAGCCAAACTTAAATGCATTATAAAAACATTTGAATCAAATTGATAGAATTTGATGTGTCAAATGGACAAGAATAGCAATGCCTTGAACAAACAATTGAATCCTGATAACCTAATAAATTATGTTTATTACTTATATTAGGCACATATTAACTTCAACTAAATTGAGCAGGTAAAGTCGATAATAATGCTTTTAATAACTTGTGAATTCTTTCTTGTATTAAATAATGAATTATGTTGATAAGGTATTCCATGGAGCAATTATTGAATGTAATTGAATTAAACGTGTCACGTCTGTGAGAACAACAGTTACAAATTATTGAATACTCTCGATTCTTATGAAATTATGTATTTAAGTCATTGAAGAATTTAATAAATCAAGAAAAAAATCCAATTTTTATTTGTTGACTGAGTTTTCTTCGTTTTGATTGGATGTAAATGGTCATGTGATACTGATTGAAATTTTTACACATCGACAAATTCTGTGGACTACTTTTGATTCCATGTTTCCATATCATTTGATGCCATGTTTTATCTATATCAATGTTTAACGCCTCAGTAATAACAACAAGCTCCCACCCTACCACTCCTGTCATTTCTGATCATAAATGACAAGCCACAGATTAAAAACGACCATCAGAAGTGAAAACAAAATAATTGCACAGACCTTCCTGCACTGCAACACTCAACCCTTTTGCCGAAAAAGGCCTATCACAGGCTTTAGAAACTAGTCTTCGGAAATTAGTGCATTTCACCTCGACAACATTGTTACAGCAGTAGTTAATAAATGTCAGGGTTATGTCAATCAAGGGATTTAGTTAAAAAATAACACAGTTTTACTCTTGAAAGATCGAAATGCGGAGAAAGTAACAACGAATTTGCTATAAAAACACGTGAAGATAGGGCTATGTATTCTATCGCAGTTAAGAGACAAATGAAAGTAAACTTCGATGTACAAAAAAGTGAATGTTTTGTTGATTAAATCTGCTGATCTAATGCTAAACAGAAAGTAAATTGGAATCATAATAATTAAATGATCATGGTTGGGTATTTATTGATGTGTAAATATTGCCTAATCACTCAAAAAGTGTACATGAAGTCTATCGGACTTTGTATACTTTGTAAGTGATTAGGTAAAAAAATACCCAACAATGATAATATAATTTTACAGTAACATTTTCAATGTAAATTACGAAAACGTCGAATCTGCCATTTATACGAATATAAATTTTATATTGCAACATAAAGAAAATTCTGGGATATGATGCTAAAACAAAAATACATAATTCAGTATAGCATAACATCATAAAGGTGCATGCAGCTTCAAAAAGATTATCAAGACCAAAAAAAGTAATAAATTAAAGAATAAAGCTCACTTTGACCATTTAACTCAGCTCCTATAATAAATGATATAACATACAATAATTTGGTAATAAAATAACATGAATCAGACCTTACGACTTGGAAGAGTTAAAAGCACAGAAAATCCCCAATTAAACCCACGAAACCCACAAAACCCACAATGCATAAAGCGCCATCTCCACAAAACCTACAACCCATAAATCCTCCAAACTCCATAACCCACAAAGCCCACAAACCCACAAACTGGACAACCCACAATTCCCTACATCTACAAAACCCACAATCCAAACGAACCACAGATCCACAGAATATGCAACCCACATTTCCTCCAACCCCACAAAATATAAAACCCACAAGACCATTGACGCACAA